AGTAAATAATAATACGTGTAGTACATTAGGTAGTCGGTCCGTACGAGTTACTAATAATAGGTACCGGTTCGGGTCGTCACTATTGTAGCTGTAGGCGACACTGCGTGTGTCTAGTATTCTAACTATATATATATATATATATACACACACACACACACACACACACACACACACACAAGGAAATCACAACTACTCCTAGTCATTTAATGTCAAATTAGATGGCTTGAAATGTTTCACAAAGTTCGAGAAATTATTTTTGAACTTTTGAGTCTAGTCAATGACACTCTTAGAACCATCCGATTTGAAATCTGATGGACAAGAGTGATTGTGACCTCCTTATATGAAAAATAAATAGTCTCTTTGTATACTTTCCCCTATATATATATGTATACATATATAGGTATATATACATGTATATATATAGGTTTTGTCTAGAGTTAACAAGCCCTCAAAAATGCAAATGTTCAAGTTAGAAAGAGTTGTGATGGGTGTATTTATCAAAACAATCATTACTTCTTTATTAAAAAATTATTTAAATAGGCAACTTTACCATTAAGCAAGAGCAAATTTAAAATTTTCAAAAAAATACAATGGCATTTTGGAAGTTAGTGTCTTGGAACTTTATTTGTAAAGTGCCTTTGTCTTTTAGTTAAAATTTCAACTTTACCCCTTATTGGAGATGACAAAAGTACCTTTTGTCTTGTAGTAATATTTACAAAATTTCGCCACAAAAGTAATTTTTTTTAAAAAATAGACTATAAAATTAAAATATCCACCCTTCACAACTCTCTCTATTTTGAACCTTTGTAATTTGAAGGGTTGTGAAGTTTAGATTATCCATATATATATATATATGGGTTCTGTTAAAGTGCTCACACTATAGAGCAGTTATACCTGTACTCTACAAATTTTGGACTCATATATACCAATATTTTTTTAGTAAGGGTATTTTTGGTCATTAGATTGGGTGTGACATCATCCACATGGGATGTGACATCACACCCTACGTGGATGATGTCACACCCATCCTAATGACCAAAAATACCCTTACTAAAAAAATACTCCATGTACAAACAGGGTATATAAGTGACTAAAATTAGTTGATTACAGTTATAAAATGCTCTATAGTGTGAGCACCCTAGCATAGCCATATATATATATATATATATATATACTCTCTCTCTCTTTCTCTTGTGTCACACAAAATAAGATGAGCAAACCCTAGCCCTTCACTTTGGGCCTTTTATTAGTCATTGAGAGCTTTCCCATTATGCCCTCATACAAAGGGCCAGAGCCAATGGGGTCCCTCCACAATCTGCCCCTGCAATCCCATGGGGAAGGTTCTCTTTTGCAGGTCAACTTGGTTCTCAGATGACACCCATGCCTACCATGCTTCTGTAAACTCCTATTTATCTCTGGCCAAGGTCTTCGTTATCATATATCCCACACATTCTTTTCGGCATGGATCTTCTCTAGTAGCAACAACTTCTTCTCAAGGACATCCTAAATCCAATAGTAGCACATAATAATGTATTTCATCCTTGATTGTAAGCTTGCATTCTTGCTCAACTGTATTTCACTTTGATTGTGAACAGTGGACGATATACATGTCCTGTTTCAAGCCCAGCTCTTGGAGGAATCTCTTCATCCACTACATCTTCTTGCATGCTTTTATGACTGTGATATATTTGGCCTATGTTGTCAGCAAGTCTACAAATTTCTGCTGCTTGGACTGCCATGATATAGTCCGCTGCAAGAGTAGATAGGTATCGCGAGGGCGATTTCCTAGAGTCTATATCTCCAGCCATGTTAGCATGTGTACCCTTGTAGCACAAGTTACCTTCCCTAAAGCTCGAACACACTTTTGATGACCCTTTGAGATACTCATTATCCCTTTGACTGTTGCCAAATGCTCCTTGCTAGGATTAGCCATATACCTCTGCTTGCCACGCCAACTGCAAATGCAATATCTGGCCCCATGCATACCATGGTGTACATCAAACTTGCACTGCTGTCACGTAGGACACTTTCTGCACTTCTTCTCCTTTTTCTTTGAATAACTCTGCTTGGTAATTAAATTGAAGTGGCTACCAAGAGGGGCCCTACATGTATCGCTTTGTTTTATGGAACCTTTTAAGCACTTTCTCAATGTATCTGCTTGTGACAACAATAGCTTCCCGACCTTCATGTAATGAGGGATCTTCATACCCAAGATTTGTTGAGGTAGACCTAATTTCTTCATGGTAAAGGCATGTCTTAACTCTTACTTCAACCAGTAATTCTTGTTGATGCATTGACTCTTGACCAACAATCATCATGTCATCAACATACAGTTAAAGGAACTTCTTGAGAAACACATGGTGGTTTGAGGCTGTTCTGTTGTACACATGATTCCATATGAAGGAATCAAACTTTTTGAACTACTGCCCATGGGCTGTTTCAACCGCTATAGGCTCTTGTTCAGCTTTCAGACCATTTGTTCTTTCCCTTTTACCTTGATCCTTATGGCTGCTATATACAGATCTCTTTCTCCAAATCACCATGGAGAAAGGCAGTCATGACATCTACTTGCTCAATCTCTAAATTCAAGTATGCGGCCAGGCCAACACGACAATAATTAATGATATTTTCAGCACGTTAGAAAAGATTTTATCAAGGTCAATGCCCTTGTTCTGCCTTCACAACCAGCCTTACCTTGTAACTTGGTTGCGAGCGCTTTTCTTCAGTCTTTAGCCTGAATACCTACTTGTTCTTCAGTGCCTTTTTTCTTTTTAGCAACTTTAATATGTGTGGTTTTTAGGCAAAGAATCCATCTAGTCTTGCATAATTTATGGATTTGGATTTGAGTTATCTAGAACCCAGAACTAGAGTGTTCCATATTTCATGTTTGCTCCAAACAATAATCCGATGAACGCATTGCTGAAGTTTTGGTTCCATAAATCAACATTCAAATGCAAAATTCTAGAATGTCTCCATCTTCTGTGCGCAAACCAAGCCAGCCTTCACCTGGACCCACCCTTAGAGTGTCTTCGGCAACTTCTGTTGTCGCACAGAAGCTCCTCACTGCATCCTAAAGGGGTGGAAAAAGGAAGATTGTATCCCCCACCCCCCCCACCGGGGACACCCCTTCTCTATTTGGGCACCATTCCCATTAGTGCGTAATGAAAGTCGTGGAAGGTATTATATCTTTAATTACACAAAATATATTATCTTCAACTATCATTTATTGTCAAAACCTCTATAATCTCTGTCCATGTGTGTTATTTTTTAATTCATGCAATATGTAATCTCATGCTAACTTCTAAATCTGTCACTATCTATCCATGCTAACTTCTAAATATGTCACTATCTATCCATGTGTCCTTTGATGCTTGATTATAAAGGGGTTACAAAATCTCGATTGTCAGATGGGTCGAAACTCGAACCAAACTGCTATGAATCTCGGTTCCAATCTAGATCGAATCTCAATTTCAAACTAGTATGAATTTTGATTCGAAATGCCTAGGAATCTCGATTCTAAAGATTTTAGAATCACAATTCCATAAATGAGCTCGATTCCGTGTTGGTCAATTCCAAATACGTTAGAAACTTGATTCCATAGAGCTAAGAATCTCGATTCTATCTATGTAGGAATCTCGATTCAATTTTAGTCAAATCTTGATATCTATAAAATAGGAGTCTCGTTTCTCATGATTTCTCTTGTACAAACGTCAATTCCGAAAATAGGAATCTTCTAGCCAGCCGCAATTCCACGATTCTGATTCAATTCCTAAAACGATTCAGACTTGGTATCAACAAATATGCTTTGAACCCATCCTCTTCTTGCACTTCTCCTCTATCTTAATCATACACTATGGTGGGAGGGATTATGATTGATCCTTGTGAGTTATTGAAGATCAGTGGCTTTTCTGGCTTCTTCACATCTTCAATGTTTAGGTCTTATTGAAAGACTACATCTCTATTCTTGATCACCTTCTTACTCTCAAGGTTCCAAAGCCTATAGCAAACTTTGCATTTTAATATCCCAATAAGATGCATGGGAGTGTTTTCTCATCGAACTTGGATTCTTTTTCCTTGGGTACATGTACAAATGCCATGCACCTGAACACCCTCAAGTGTGAATAAGAGATGTCTTTTCTGGTTCAAACTCTCTCTAGGATATCACCATCTAGAGGAGATGATGGGGATCTATTTATTAGGCAGTATGCTGTGAGGATTGCTTCATCCCAATACAGACTTGGTAAGTTAACTTGCCCTTAACTTT